CACTTAAAGTGAAATCATGTTACAAAGAGTGATTTGGGTAACCTTCAACTTGATCATAAAATCTGAATGATCGCTACAGCCACATATATAAAACGGTGAACTTCCATATCAGATAAATTAAAGAGTAGCAAAATGGTCATCTTGCAAGGACAAAGCTCCTAGACCTTTTAATTCTGGGGTATGTCAGTTGGGTTATAATTGGCTCTAATTACCACACTTTCCAGCTATAAAATTCTTTATCTTGAAGCTCAGTGACACTCAAAGATGTGAAATTTCTTCTTGCCTTTGAAAACATCAAAAAAGTGCTTCCAATTTAGTCCTTACAGCTGAATGCCCAGTGATTAGTTCAAGTGAGGGGCAAACACATCAGCACCTATAACAAATGGCTTTTAGAAAATTAGTTTTTATCTCTGTTGCCAAATAATCACTACAGAAGTAATTGGCAAAACCAAATTTCATTGCCAGTAATCAAAAATGTTATCTAATAAAATAGGCCAAAATATCCATTGTTGTCCTCTTCTGTAATCCAGAAATAATCATTGAATTAAAAAAAAAGTCACTGAGGTTTTTGGTATGCTCCCTATCATTTGGTGTGAGAAACACTTTCACTGTTCCATGATCCAGTCCATTTTCAAAATTGGAATGGTCATTAGTCCTTTTTATTTCATTTTGGATGTAGAAAGTCTGAAATGAGTTTAATATTTTATCCTTTTAATGGTGTTTATAAAATGCTTTTAATCTTTTCAAAGAGCTAATGCATGTCTTCTGGAACAGAACTTTATGGAATAACGTGTCCATTATGAAATGTAGTTACCAAGTTAGTTGTTGTTGTAGCCATGTTGGTCCCAGGATGTTAGAGAGACCTGAAAAAGAGCTCTGTGTAGCTCAGAAGCATGTCTCTTTCACCAGCAGAAGTTGGTCCAATAAAAGATATTACCTCCCCCACCGTGTGTCTCTGTAGATACCAAGTGACAGTTTTAAAACCAGTTAGCTACTTCTAATTATTGTAGGCAGTTAATAGTGATGCCTATTGTTTAGGCTGTTTAATGTTTTCAATTGTATTGACTTGTTTTCAGTTGTGTATAATTTTGCTAAACTATAACTGGTTGGGGTGACATTTTCTGAACCTGCTCTCTGATTCAGACTGAATCTTTCTGAAGTTTCAATGAAAACAGTTCAGTCATTTTGTTTCAGTTTTCACCAAAAAGGTTAGTAGTGATTGGACATCTAACATAGTGAATGTCAGTGAAAATGAGGTTGGATCAGAGGCTAAAATAGGGAAAGAACAAGTAAAAAGTTACTTAGACAAGTTAGATATCTTCAAGTCACCGGAACCTCATGAAATACATCCTAGAAAATACGCAAGGAGCTGACAGAGGAGATATCTGAGCCATTAGCAATTTTCTTCAAAAAGTTACAGAAGATGGGAGAGATTCTAGAGGACTGGAAAAGGGCAAACATAGTGCCAATCTATAAAAAGAGAAATAAGGACAACCCGGGGAATTACAGACTAGTTATCTTAACTTCAGTGCCCAGAAAGACAATGAAGCAAATAATTAAGCAATCAGTTTACAAACACCTAGAAAATAATAAGGTGATAGGTAACAGCATGGATTTGTCAAGACCAAATTGTGTCAAACTAACCTCATTGCTTTCTTTGACAGGGTAATAAGCCTTATGTATGGAGAGGAAGTGGTAGATGTGGTATAACTTGACTTTCGTAAGGCTTTAGATACTTTCTTGCATGATTTTCTCATAAATAAACTAGGGAAATACACCCTAGATGGAGATACAATAAAGTGGGTGAGTAAATGCTTGGAAAACCATTCCCAAAGAATAATTATCTGTGGTTCACAGTCCAGCTGGAAGGGCATATTGAGTGGGGTCCTGCAGGGACCAGTTTTGGATACAGTTCTGTTCAATATCTTCATCAGTGATTTAGCTAATGGCATAGAGAGTATACTTATGAAGTTTGCAGACACTACCAAGCTGGGAGCGGTTGCAAGTGCTTTGGAGTAAAGGATTAAAATTCAAAATGATCTGCACAGACTGGAGAAATAGTCTGAAATAAATGTAATGAAATTCAATAAGGACAAATGCGAAGTACTCCACTTAGGAAGGAACAATCAGTTGCACACATACAAAATGGGAAATGACTTCCTAGGAAAGAGTACTGCAAAAAGGGGATCTGGGGGTCATAGTGGATCACAAGCTAAATATGAGTCAACCGTGTAACACTGTTGCAAAAAAAAGCAAACATCATTCAGGGATATATTAGCAGGAGTGTTGTAAGCAAGACACAAGAAGTAATTCTTCTGCTCTACTCTGCACTGATTAGGCCTCAACTGGAGTATTGTAACCACCTTCTGGGCACCAGATTTCAGGAAAGATGTGGAAAAATTGTAGAAAGTCCAGAGAAGAGCAACAAAATTGATTAAAGAGCGACTAGAAAACATGAGCTAAGAGGAAAGATTAGAAGAAATTGGGTTTTAGTCTGGAAAAGAGAAGTCTGAGAGGGGACATGGTAACAGTTTTCAAGTTCATAAAAGATTGTTACAAGGAGGAGGGAGAAAAATTGTTTTTCTTAACCTCTGAGAATAGGACAAGAAGCAGTGGGCTTAAATTGCAGCAAGGGCAGTATAGTTTGGACATTAGGAAACAATTCCTAACTGTCAGAGTAGTTAAGCACTGGAATAAATTGTCTAGGAAGATTGTGGAATCTCCATCATTTGAGATTTTTAAGAGCATGGTAGACAAATACCTATCAGGGATGGTCTAGATAATACTTAGTCCTGCAATGAGTGCAGGGGACTGGACTAAATGACCTCCAAGGTCCCTTCCAGTATAATTTTGTGATTTCTAGGATGATGATTAGGGAAAGACTAGGTAGTTTTGGTTATGCTCTGGTAGGGGAAGTCCTAGTTTTGTGTTAGAGGCTTGGTGCTAAAATTCATAACATGCCAAATGTATTGAGCATCCCGCAGCATCATGGAGTTCACTACAAATGAACTGCACTGAGCATGTTACCGTCTACATTGAGTCTCCTACAGAGTTAAAGCTCTACAATAGAAGGAATGTACAGGCAGTAGCCAGTCCTTACTACCATTATCTCCCCATTACCTCACCTAAGGAAAGGGTCAGTGGGTGAAGAGTGTGGAGAAGACCATGAGTTATTGTTTCAGCTCTTCCATTACCTGGTGTTAATTTTGGGTACTTCATAGCCCAATACATCTGGGCCTTATATTCCTACTATAGGAGGCAGGTACGAATCTTTCACCCATTTTAGAAATGTTCCCCACCGCCTGGGTGTCGAGATTGCTTCCATGTCTGTGTTGATAAGGTACCTGAGAGATTACAAAAAGTCACTTCTATAAAAGCTGGGAGCAGAACTCAAGTAACTAATCTGGCAAATCTCGTCCATTTAGTCTGACTGTCTTCCAAAAGCACTCCAAAGTTAGGATATGGTACAATTAAAGTTATCCTGTAATTTGGATCCTTTGTGCATGTGCATTATGATTCAGTGCAGGGGTCGGCAACCTGCGGCATGCGTGCCAAAGGTGGCATGCGAGCTGATTGTTAGTGGCACTCTGCTGCCAGCCGGGGTCCTGGCCGCCGCCCGCTGCTGGCCTGGATGGATGGAACCCCGGGCCGGCAGTAGGCTGAACTGCTCAGCGCGCTGCTGGTCTGGGGTTCCGTCTGCTGCCCTTGCTGCTGGTCTGGGGTTCCATCCATCCAGGCCAGCAGTGGGGTGAGCGGGGCTGACGTCCGGGACCCCAGACCGGCAGCGTGGGTGGCAGACGGAACCCCAGACCGGCAGCGCGCTGAGCCGCCTAGCCAGTCTGGGGTCCTGGCCACCGGCCCTGCTCAGCCTGCTGCCAGTCTGGGGTTCTGTCGTGGGGCCCCTGAAATGTAAAATTTATTACTGGCACGCGAAACCTTAAATTAATGAAGACTTGGCACGCCACTTCTCAAAGGTTGCCGATCTCTGATTCAGTGTTTAATTACATTGTTTGTTTTCCATGACCGTTGCCTCATCCAGTGCCCAGAATGGACAGTAATTGAGGCAGAGGGATGCTAGTGGAGAAAATAAGTTGTTTTATAATTAGGCAGACTGGGATCCAGGAGAGCTGGGTTCTGTCCTGTGAGGAACTGTGCCTTTAAGAGGCTCTGTCAAGATCCACTTGGAACCAAGTGGCCCTGAATGGCTGTCTTGCTAGAGGAGGTCTACAACCATAGCAGACTGAGAAGTCTGAGCCCCAGGACATGGCACAACCAGAGTTAATGGACTTACTGCCACTTGAATACAATGGTGCAGATGTCTCAAGTGAGGTCTACAGGTCTACGTGACAGTACAGTGCACCTCAGAGAAAAATTGAGCATTGTTAGTTTGGTTAGTAATTTGGTTATAAGTACTTGAAATTTTGTAGTATGCTAATGTTCTTTGTTAATTGCCTGGGAAAGGACAATGTGGAGAAATGTACCTTTAAGAGGCTCTGGCAAGAGCTAGTTAGAACCAGTTGTGTTACTCGTGTTAAGCAGTACTGATCAGTTAGAGCTCTGACACTGAATGAAGCAGACCTCTGTCAGATTCCTTGGCTCTGAGTGATAATTGAACACCACTTGTTTCTTCGTCTGCCACAGACTTTATATGTGATATTGAGCAGGACTGTCATAATATATATGCACCAAGGGGCTAAATTAAGGTTGTATGGGCAACCTTAACTCTGGCATTTCCTAACTTTTGAGTGCTTGTCTTTACCTCTGTAATATTATTTTAATGTTGGCGTTTTTTGTATGTAACTAACTACATATTGACAAGGATGGTCAAATTCTGCTCTGCAGACAAAAAGGACCAATCTATATTGAAAATTATGGGAGTTTCACCATTGTGTTTGAGGACAGATTTAGCGCCACATAATTAAAATGACTGACAATTGCAAGACTTCATTGATCTGGGTTTTTTTCATGTGTTTTATTTATGTTATATGTTTGTTTTACAGTGTTATATGGGAGCCAATGGGAGATGGTAAAAAGATAATTTCACTGGCTGATAATCACTTATTATTGTGGGATTTGCAAGAAAGCTCAAGCAACGCCATGGTAAGAAAAATTGCTTGTAAGTTATAATATGGCCGGGTATGGTATATGATCTAACTCAACATTTTATAAGGATTCTCAAATATATTGCTACTAACTTCTAAAAGTTAAATTTTTACCCAATTTCATTAAAATTAGCATAAGAACTTTCTTTTAACATCCTAAGAATAGGACTTAAAGCTTGTTTATTGAGACTACTGTTAGCGTGAATTAAATGCGATAATCCTGGGTTTATGGAAACTTTAGTCTCCTTTTCCTGTTGCCCCTCACAATCCTGAGGCTTTCCCTTCCCTTTCTGAGGCTGCAGCTTGTTGAAACAGGCACTCTGGTCCTTTTTTGGATTTGAATGTTCCAGGCTTAGGTGACTTTTTGTCCCCCTTCTCTCTTACCAACAGTTATACCTTTTATTATTTATTTATTTTATTAGGTCTGCTTGAATTGCCTGTGGTTGTTACCCCAGTGAGTATAATGTCAAAATGATTTTAATAAAGCAATGATCATTAGACAAATTAAAGAAAATCCAGTTAAATCAGAGATCAATGGAACAAAAGCTTAGTCTAAGGATTGGGTAAGAGAGGTTAAATCTTGAAGTTATTGATTTAAACAAGTATTCATGTATGTCCTAGAGCCCAAAGAGGGGAGAGGGAGCGTGGAGAGAGAGATTTTTACTTATTCTCTGTCTGCTAGCATCACAGTATCGCAAGTCACTATCTCAATGTGTGAGCACTGCTGTTATTTATCTGTATTACTGTAGTACATAAGCAGCCCTAGTCATGGACTAGAATCCCGTTGTGCTAGGCTCTGTACAAACACAGAAAAAGATGGTTCCCTGCCCCAAGGGTCTTACAGTCTCAGTATAAGACAGGAAACAATAGATGGATACAGACTGACCAACAGGGAAATACAAGTAAACAGTGCTGGCCAGCATGAAAAACAGTGGTTTCTGCACATCAGCAGCCTGACCATTCTCAAGGGGTGTTTTTTTTAGGCATCATATCAAAGGATAATTTTGAGGAGGGATTTGAAGGTGGATAATGAGTTAGCTTTGCAGATGTTTGTGGGGAACGTCTTCCAAGCGTGTGGGGCTGTGAGAAAGTGGGAGTATTTTGTAATATTTTTGAGTCCTCTCTGTGCTTAAGTTTCCCCTCTATCCTGCATAGTTACCCAGTGGGTGGAAAAGAACTGTTTGCTTCCAGAGCAGGCTAAGTGACATAGGTGTGGGTGTTGCCTAGCTGTCTGGGCTTGGTCTCTATATGAATGGAGCATTTGAGAAGACAATGGCAAATCCAGTCACCCAGACACTGACACCAAGTAAAGAACAACCCAGAGGGATTTGGATTTCCCCACTTCTCAGCAGGGAGACTGAGGCCTTGTCTGCACTTCACAGTTTTGTGGGCAAAAGGCAGTTTTTGTTGACAAAACAGTGGAGTACACATTACAGTGCTCCTCCTGCCTACAGAACTCTCCTGCTTTGCTGACCAAATAAAACCACCTCAACAAAAGGCGTAGAGCTTTTTGCAGTAAAGTTAGATCGACAAAGCATCAGTACAGACACTGCGTTCCTTGCGTCACTGTAACCGGCCCCCAGGAGTTATCCCACAATGCCCACTGTGAGCATTCTGATCACTGTTTTGAACTCTGCCTCCCTGCATCCAATTACACACATGTATGCCCCTCCCCTTTCAAAGCCCCAGGAAGCTTTGAAATTCCTCAGCATGGGGAGCTCACATAGCTACTTCTCAGCTGAGCATGTTGGCTCCCAGCAGCAAACACACTCCCACCTGGAATACAGAGGAGAGGGGTGAATCTCCTTGTTCTGCAGGGAGAGGAGGGGGTGGGAGAACTTGGAGGGAATCACAGAATCAAAACATGAACATGGAATCCTGCTCTCCCGGCACTAGGACTACAGTGGCAGGTAGGGTGCTGCTCGGGTGGGGGAGAGGCTCATGCTGTGCTGTGTAGAGCCAGGGAGGGAGGCAAGGTCTGATGTTGGGTGTTCCCCTCCCACTGCTGATGCACTGGTCTCTGCTGAGTTGGGGGCGGGACACCAGCTGTCTGTGCACCAGCTTTTGCCTCGGGATTGGTTGCTTCCTGCTGCTGTCTGAATGTAAAGAGACAGCATGCCGACACATTCATTCTCACCCAACACACACACACACGCGCTCCCCCATTTCTGTCTGTTTCTCTCTCATTCTCACACACACACACACTCCCTGTCACCCCCCCCCACACACACACACACTTCTGTGGGCTTCTTGTTTTTGTGTTCAGCTATGTCAGTTCGGTCATATTACTCAGTGCTACTTTAAAAATGTGTTACTTTTTAGGCACATGTAGAAATAATTACAAGGTTCATGGTATGGTGGAAACAAACAATGCCAGGGTCAACCGAATAGCCCGCCCTTGGGCTCCTCTTATAGCGGTTCGTTTATCACGTACAGCACAATACTGAACAGCAGTGCAGGATCCATGTTTTCTGACAGAGATGGCTAGGTTGCAGGTTACCAGAGCAATTGAAAAGCAGCTGGCAATCCAGTAGGATGCCCATGAAACGATGGGATTGAGAAACCTTCCTCATCTGACACTGTACCTGCCCCATGAGGCATTGCAAACCCTTCCCAAAGCGCCCTGCAGCCAGTTGCACAGTGAGATAGCTACCCACAGTGCTCTGCTCTCTTTGTCAATGCAAGCGCTGCTATTGTGCATGTGCTGCACTGACACAAGGAGCATAGTGTGGCCATGCAACAGCGGTTTAATTACAGCGGTGGTACCAGTCAGAGGCGAGAATTAATAGCTGGATATCGAATCAGAGACATTAGGTAGAGTGGGGATAGACTGTGGAGGACTTTGAAAGTAAATACAAGCAGTTTGTTTGATGTAATAGAGAAGAACAAACCGAGGGAGGAATTCAAAGAGAGGGATGATGTGGTCAAAGTGACAAGGTAGGGAAATGATCTTTGCAGCAGCATTCTGAATGCATATGAGTGAAGCAAGCTTGCATTTGTCAAGGCCAGAGAAAAGGATGTTGCATCAAGATATGAGATGAGGTTGTACTCTGAGGTTTCTTTGGGGGATAGGTGTGAACTGAATCCCATAGGAGTATAGGAATTGCAATACTAGATCAGACTCAAGTTCTATCTAGTCCAGTGGTCTCCAACCTTTACGCACAAGATCACTTTTTGAATTTAAGATTGAACCAGGATCTACCCCACCTCTTTCCTGAGGCACTGCCCCTTCCCTGAGGCCTGCCCCACTCACTCCATTCCCCCCTCCCTCCGTCGCTCGCTCTCTCCCACCCTCACTCACTTTCACTGGACTGGGGAAGGAGGTTGGAGTGTTGGAGGAGGTGCAGGCTCTGGGCTGGGCCCGAGGGGTTCAGAGTGTGGGAGTGGGTTCTGGGTTGAGTCTGGGACAGGGGGTTGGGATGCAGGAGTGAGGGGTGCAAGCTCTGGGAGGGAGTTTGGATGCAGGAGTCGTATGGTCACACTGCATCTAATCTCATAGAATCCACTGGACATTTTGTGAGTTTTACTTTTTATTAGTGTCATTTGTGGTTTATAGATCCAAAATCCTTCAGGGATTGTCACATGTGACATTGCACTCCATAATGTTTTATGGAAATATGCTTATGAGTATGAATATAATGTAACTGGAATATGCTTTATGCAAAAGGTCTCTTGTAAGGTATCATTACAAAGCTTATAACCTACTGAGTGTGTTCATCCTATTTTTATGAATATATCATTCTTGTATCTGAAACTAGGAATATAAAGTATAACTCTGAGATCCTATTGTAATTATACAAAGTGTGGGCCATTAATGGAAGCTCAATGGCTCCCATTGACCAGGACAATTGGTTGTAAATGGTCTGTTTACTTACAAACCTTCCTGGGTCCCTGCGGGGCAGCCCTGGAAGAACGGAGGCTGGGGTCTCACAGGACATGTGAACATGTCACCTGATACTGGAATCCATCTTAGAGGGCTGGTGCTTTTCCATTTAGAAGTAGGGGTGGGGGCCCAGAGAGACAAGAGATTCCTGCCTTGTGCCAAAGATATAAAAGGGGGTGGAACAGAACAAAGGGGCTGCCAGCCGTGAAAACACCCCTAGTTTCCACCTAAGATGTCTGCTGGAACTAACAAGGACTGTACCAGGGGAAAGGATTGGGCCCAGACTAGCAAGGAGTCTAGTCTGTGAAAGAAGCTTATTGGAACATCTCTGAGGGTGAGATTTTACCTGTAATCAGTTTCTTAATGTATTAGGCTTAGACTTGTGTGTTTTTGCTTTATTTTGCTTGGTGACTTATTTTGTCCTGTGTGTTATTACTTGAAACCACTTAAATCCTACATTTTATACTTAATAAAATCATTTTTATTTATTAATTAACCCAGAGTAAGTGATTAATACCTGTGGGAGCAAACAGCTGTCCATATCTCTCTATCAGTGTTATAGAGGGCAGAAAATTTGAGCTTACCCTGTATAAGCTTTATACAGAGTAAAACGGATTTATTTGGGGTTTGGATCCCATTGGGAACTGGGTGTCTGGGTGCTGGAGATAGGTGACCTGCTGAGCAGTTTTTGGTTAAAGTCTGCAGCTTTAGGGGCGTGTACCAGACCTGGGTCTGTGTTGCAGCAGGCTAGCATGTCTGGCTCAACAAGGCAGAGTTCTGGAGTCCCAAGCTGGCAGGGAAAACTGGCTCAGAGGTAATTCCAGCACATCAGGTGACAGTCCCAAGTGGGTCTCTGTTACCGAACCACGTCACATCACAAATCAGTATAACGTTCTCAACTGTGTGGTGTGCATTGTTTGAGTCTAGGAGTGGGGGGTCGGGGTGCAGGAGTGAGGGGTGCAAGCTCTGGGAGGGTTTTGGTGCAGGAGGGGGCTCCAGGCTGGTGCAGAGTGTTGGGGTACAGAAGGGGGTGAGGGATCTCAGAGGGAGTTTGAGTGCAGGAGGAGGCTCAGGGCTGGGGTGGGGATGCAAGTTGTAGGCTTCGGAGAGGGGTG